CCTGAGTCACAGCATAGCCTGAGTCAGATAGAAGTGGTCCGTACATACATTACATACGTACATAATTACACAGTGTAATGCACTTACATGATTCTTTAAATGTAAACATGATAATTTAGAGAAGACATTAGGCTTATTCCTTCATCTTACCTTGGTATTATTATAAAAATGGAGATTTCTTTTGCAAACACTTAAGTCCCTGGTTCAAATCTCTTAAGCCAAAACTGAATCCCCATGTAATTCATGTATGATAAAGGATCTCTCCTTTTGTTTTAGCTACATAATATCCCTAAATATGAGAGTGGTTGAAAAGGAAAGGGTTTTTTTCATGTCATTCATTAAACAATGTTAGGCAAGTTGTTATATGCCAGACATAACACTGTAGCAGATAATGAAGATATAAAAGTTGATAATTTACAGTTGTTGCTTTCACAGCTACCATTCCTGACTTTGTGAGAGAAAACGTGAAAATAAGATAATACAATACAATGATTAAGCACAACAATAAAGGCATATACTGAGATCTTCAAAGACTAGAACAGCTATCATCACTGATATCCACTGATCACTGATTTCCACTATTATCAGTGGAAATCAAGAAAAGAGTCACAAAAAGCAAGATACATGAGCTGGAACATAAAGAATGAATATTTAGGGAGGGAATAGCCTGGGTAAGGTGCTCCAAAAGAGTGGCACTTATGGGGGCTTGTCATGTGGAGCAGTAATATCAAACTTTCAGTATGGCAAGAATTTAGAATACACAGGGAAGTAGAAAGGATGGGTGATATTTTGAGGGGCCTTATTCATTCTAAGTGTAAATTGACATTTTATCTAAAGCCAATGGTGGATAAATGGAGGTATATAAACAGGAAAAGTGACATTACTAGATTTGTTTTCTAGGAAGATAATTTTGGTACCAGTTTAGAAGCTATACTTACAAAGCAAAAAATTGACAACAGGAAATTATTAAATGTGTGCTACAATTCATGGAAAAGACAATGAAGAATGGCTGTGGAGATGGATAAGAAGCTGAAACAAGGAATCCTTCCAAGTACTGTATTGCAATATCTATGTTATTATTTGTACAAAAGAACCCATTATGTGTTGAACTGTGTGCCTTCTGCTCCCCCAAAATTCATATGCTGAAGTCCTAATGCCTAGAGGCTCAAATGTGAACATACTTTCAAACAACATCTTAATAGCAGTAATTAAAGTAATTACAGTCACAATAGTGGACCTTAATCAAATAGAACTGGTATCCTTAAAAGAAGAAATTAGACAGACATACAGACAGAGAGGATATGAAGTCATGCAGAGAGGACAGCCATTTATAAGCCGCGCAGGGTAGCCTAGAACAGACCATTGTCTCATGGTCCTCAAAAGGACCAAACCCTGCTGACAACTTAATCTTCGACTTCAAAGCCTCAACAATAGTGACACAATAAATTTCTGTTGCTTAAAACACCTGGTCCTTGTTCCTTTGTTTCAGCAACTTTATTCAACTGTTACAGAAGTATTCTGGCATATGCTAAAACCTGCATTCACAAGGGAATGATACATAAGAAAATAATAACAGTGGTTACCTTGGTCTATTCCCTTTTTTTTTTTTTTTTGGTACCAGGGATCAAACTTGGGACCTTGAGCTTGCAAGGCAGGCAGCAGAACCACCGAGCTAAATCCCTGGCAACAGTGGTTACCTTGGAATGGATAGTGTTTGAAGACTTTTTACTTTGTTTTGTAATTTGTTTGTAATTAGTTATTACTCTTATTGCTCATGTTATAATGTTGAGAAAATAATGTTAAGTAATTAACATTAAACAAAAAGAAAACAAAGCTATTTTGAGAAAAAACAATATGGTTTTTTGGTATAGTGGATACAGGGATGGGTATTTAAGAAGGGAACTGAGGATGATGTTCATAAAATGTTAATTGAGTGATAATGCTTTAAAAGTTGAAGGAAAGTGGTATCAACTTGATACATATTGAATTTTACAGCTGAAGTATACATGCAAAGACATTCATTCTGTAATTAGAGGATACAAGGGCTAGGCAATAATCTTTGAGTTGGCACATTTATGATTATATCACTAACTTTGAGATGATATACATTTTTTTTTTTGGTACCAGGAATCGAACTAGGGTCCTTGGGCTTGTGAGGCAGACAGCAGAGCCACTGAGCTAAATCCCCAGCAAGATGATATACATTTTAATACTCAGGGAGATTAAAATGTCCCAAGTGTGCTTCTTAGAATTGTTGAAATGCAGAGTTTAGGAGGTGAAGCCTTTTAGCTAGATTAAAGCCAGAAAAACATTATGTGAGAAGGCTCAAGATGCATTGAAGGTTTGGGGATGTAGCTCAGTGGTAGAATGCTTGCCTCCAGCACCACAAAGCAAAAAACAAAACAAAACAAAACAAAACAAAAACTCAAAGAAGTTGGCCAAAGGTTCAGAAGGTTAAATCAAATATGGAAAATAAAATTGGAAATTTTGTTTTAAACTTAAAGTAATCTTATATCTATATCTACATGTATCTACATTGCTTTTTAATATATTTAATATCAAAATATGTGTTGATACTCATCATTAAATAATGTTTTTTTATACATTGGTATTATAACAGCTATTGAAATGGATAATGCTTTCTTAAGGTTTTAGATTATATATATACATAGGTGAGATATATTTTTCTGAATATGTAAATTGTAACAATAATATTCATTGTAGAAAGGTTGCTAATTCAATAATATGAAAAAAAGTTAAAATGACTCATAATCTTCCCGCCTGAATAGTCACTAGTAATATATAAATTTGGTGTTTTTTCCTATAAATATGTATGTACATTGAGGTGAGTGCTAATAAAAATGTTGGATTTCTATGCAACTTTTTCACCTAATTTTATATTATGAACAAGATCTCATATCATTAAATATTCTTTTCCATGGAAGCAAAATGCCCTAACTATGAATGTCTAATAATTATTTGATTATTTCCACTTGTCATTTAGATTGTTTCTAATATTATACTTAAAACACTTATTAATATATCTATATGCATTTCTTTTTTCTTTTTTTTTTTTTTTTGGTACTGGGGATTGAACTCCGGACCTTGTGCTTGCGAGGCAGGCAGCAGAACCACTGAGCTAAATCCCCGGCCCTCTATATGCATTTCTTATAGTTTTCTTCTGGTAGAGTTCTAGAAGTGAAGTTACTACTCCTTGAAGGGTAATTAATGTGTACTGCTATTTCTAGTGTGTACTGCTTAAAATGTGGTAGCAATTTCTTTCTCTAATAACAGCATCTAAGAAGATGCTGATCTTGATGACATATAAATATTTTCATTAAGAAAATATTCCCAAGGTATATTTAGATTATTTAATATTACCATGCAATAATCATATAGCTATTATTCTTAGATAACACATTGTTCAGTTCTAATAGAATCCAAATATCTGAGGTATAATAAATACTTAGCACCAGTTTACTGACGAACTGCTCTAAACAAGGATAGGTATTGAAAATAAAAAATGGTATAAGTAATAGTCCTTGCCTTATATTGACCAGAATTTCCATGTGGATATTTGTTTATTAGAAACTTTTTTAGAAACTTTATTTTCATTCCTAATGGGCACATGAAAATTATAAGGCACTAACTATAGCTACTGCTTCCTTAAAAAGCACATGCCTTTTCACCATGAGCTGATATGGAGAAATGCAATGGGGTGGGAAAGGATGGCTGAGTTATAATCGACCCTTCTAAGTACATATACAGGCTGTGAGTTCACTATTAAAATAGTGTTAGGTGTCTGATGTTTGAAGTGAAAACTGTAATTAAAAAGTATGTTCTCTTCTACTGCTAGTACTTTACCATAGGGGTCTTGTCATGTGAGTTTTAAAAGAACAATTAAAAGTGATATTGCTTCTGTTTCATTGAACAGTGCACATTTCTGGTGTATTGAATAAATGTTTTAACCTGACTTAAGAAGATTCATTGATGTGTTTTAAGCATCTTGAGCATATCATTTGTTTTAAATGAGAACCACCACTTCTCCAAATCTTAGATTCATCTGAAATCTTATTTGATCATAATATGATATAAATTTGGTAGCCTCATTTCACTATTTCAAGAATTATTATGTTCTCAAACTTAAATATTTGCTTCGTTTACCATATTCAGTTTTTGAAGATCACCTCTGAGTGGCATATGGGGAAAAATGGTCTAAATCCTGGTTAGCTAAATAGATTTTTCCCTCATGTGTGTGCGTATGTAGGGGTGCTAGTGATTGAACCTAGGGTCTTGCACATGCTAAGTACATACTCTATCACTGAGCTGTACCCCTTCCCTCAAGATTTTTCCCCTCTCTTAACATAGGCTTTCTTAGTTCTGAATCTTTAAGATTCTGTTTTTATTTGTTTATTTTGCAGTACTGGGGATTGAATCCAGGGCCTCATGTATTTTAAGCAAGTCCTTTGCTACTGAGCTATTTCTCCAGCCTTTTTTATTTTGAGACAAGATCACTCTAAGCTCCCTAGACTGACCTTGATCTTGAGGTTCTCCTTCCTCAGCCTCCCAACTGATGAGGCCTAATACTCCCCTAATAGCCAATTTTTCATCTGTCTTGATTCTTCAATTATGTGAAAAACTAAAGGCTGAAAACTATGCATTAGACATTTTTAAATTTCCTGTAGGACCCAGCATAGAGCATTAGAAATAATAGATGGTTAGCCAACATTTTTTTTCAATTTTTTATAAAAGAAAAAAAGCCCTACATTATTGTCACTTAAAAAAGATTGAAATGTTTACTCATTCTGGTATTTTGTGTAAGTAAATAGCCACCACTCTTTATTTCTTAGTGTAAATCTAAAATAAGGTAGGTTTGTGTTTTTATGTATAAGGATTAAACCTTATGCTTGGACTAGTTTCCTATTCAACAGAACCATTGTCATTGTAATGTCACTGTCTTCTCATTTTTCTTGTATGTTTTATTGCCATGTCATTTTCAGGGACTCCCGAAAGCCTAGCTGAGAAAGAGAGGCAGCTCATGGGTATGATCAACCAGCTGACCAGTCTGCGGGAGCAGCTATTGGCTGCGCACGATGAGCAGAAGAAACTGGCTGCATCTCAGATTGAGAAACAGCGCCAGCAAATGGAGCTGGCCAAGCAGCAGCAAGAGCAGGTGAGTAATAAACAGAGATGCAATCAGGTTCTTGACCAAATTCCTTATACATTGTTTTGCGTGCTATTTATAGATTACTGCGCTAGTCATTCAAAGATGAATAGGAGTTCCCAGTTCCAGCCACAATTAAGTAAATGAAAAGACAAAAAACAATGCAAATGCAGATGCAAAAACAGATCTTAAAGCTTATTAACAAATTCAGAATCATAGATATACTGGTTGAATGTCCTAACCAAAACCTACAATCTGAAATTGTTGAAAATCCAGAGCTTTCTCGGTGAAAATATGATGCCACGTGTGGAATATTCCACATGTAACTTCACATAATAGGTTACAGAATGGTTCTGCCGCCTGCCCCGCAAGCGCAAGGACCCAAGTTCGATCTCCGGTACAAAAAAAAAAAATAGGTTACAGACAAAACACAGGTGAACTAAAAATATTTTTTAAAATTACCGTCACAGTATGTGTTTAAGAATCTGAAACTGAAAATGCTTCTGGTCCTAAACATTTCAGATGAAGTGTGCTCAACTGGTATATATAATCAAGGTAAATTCAGATAGGTCATGAAAGAAGTACCAAAAAAGACCCATGGAAGATAATGTTTTCAGTCAGGAACATATTGAAACATATTCCTTAGAAAGGTGACATTTGACATACGTTTTGAAAAATAGAACCAGAGCATCTCATGTAGAGGAATGGCAGATTTGTAGGCCTTCGAGTGGTGACATCATGCAAAAGTAGAAGGGAGATAAGGGTAGGTCCTTGGTAGACGCTAGCATAGAGGTGACAAAGAGAGGAAAATAAACATATCCAGAAGCAGTTAGATACAGAACGGCCAAGAGGGCCATGTCATAGAACCAAATGAACAAGAGAAAACTGAGATTCTGAGAAGCAGTAAGCTAAAGAAAAGGTTATTTGGACATCATATTGAAACTTCTATCTTTATCATTTAGGTTCTCATTATTAACTTGTAAGAATAAAGTTTCTGTGGTCTTTTAGCAGTGGAAATCAGACCCAAAAAATTGACAAATATGTTGCAGGAATATAGAAGCAGTGCCTACCAACTGTTTCTTTAAGAATTAGCACTAAGGAAAAGATAGGCTAGAGGATCTCACAAGGCCCGCTTATGCACAAGGATGATGCCCCTTTTCCATGGCTAAAACACTTTATCCCATGTTCAGGGCACAGTCTACTCTCTTTCCCATGTAGAGGGAGGCCACCATTTAACAAGGGTGTTTGCGTATTTACACATGGCTGCAAAACCCTTTAAACAGCTTCCAAAGTGTAAACTAGCAGGGTTGAAAAGAGGTGAAGAAATACTCAGATTACTACTTTTGAATAATTTGAAGTGCCTCCCCCCGCTGTTTTATTTTTTCATTTTACTCAGTGGTTCACCTCTTCTTGAAAGATATTTTTATTTTTAATAAAATGCCTCATCACTTTCTTTAAAGATTTCTTTGGCCTTGTATCGTATATGGTCCATATTCTTCTTGCTTTAGCCCTGTGATAAAAGCATTCAGAATGTGTGCCTATGATGTTGTAGAAAAATCTTGCTCTTTGCTTGTCCTTGACTGACAGTGTGTTCAGTCATCTGAATGCTGAAGACTCCTGGGAGCCTCTGAAAATGTAGCTTGGATAGGATATTTCTTTGTAGATAATTCCTACCTACTTGGTGGCTTGGAAGGTACATTTGTCCTGAAAAACTTAAAGCAGTTACTAATAGGAGATTTCTTTTGTTTTCTCCCTTTCATGTTCTGGCTAATCCCTGAGGACCACCAGAGGATTCTAGAATGCTTTATTTTCTTAAGACCTCTGAAATTCTCCGTGGAACATTAGAAACCCTTAGGTCTTTTCAGAATTCTTCTCAGTGTTGGAGAGATGCCCTGAGATGCTGTCTCCAAAGCCTGAGAGGAAGTCAGGTTTTTACAACCCACACTGCTCCCCAAGTTACTCCAACCAAAGAGAGCTGGCATCCATAGTCACCATTGTGGGGTTACAGATCTCGTCATGGAGGGCTTTCCTACTTTTCCTTAACATTCAGGTGGGATTCCCCTCTCATGACAACTCCTTTTTTAAAAAAATTTTATTTTATTGGTACATTTTAGGTATACAATATAGTGGCATTCATCATTGGAAATTTGCACCTTTACATAATCTCTCTTGGTTCTTATTTTTCCCCCTTCCCCTGCCCTCCCTTCAACCCCTCCATCCCTCCCTATTTACACAGACTTTGTTTCCATTTTTTTCATTTTCTCATATTAATTCCATTCCCTTCTATTCTTTTCCCTACCCCTCCCACTTCCCCTTCCCCTTTGCCCCTTTTCTTCCTGTTTCACATTATCTATTATACTTTTTAGTCCTTATTTACACTTTCAGTTTCTCACACTAGAGAAACTATTCGGTATTTACACATGTGTGTCCTGTTTATTTCACTTCAGAATATTGCCTCAGTGTGAATCCATTTAGCAATAAATGTCTCTAATTTCTCATTTTTTATGGCTGAGTAGTACTCCATTTTATAAAAAAGCCACATCTTCTTTATCCAGTCTCCAGTTGATGGGCAACTGGGCTGCTTCCAAGTTTTAGCTATTACAAATTGTACTGCTATGAACATGGGTGTACATATATGACTGTGGTATGATTCTTTTAATTCTTTGGAGAAAAGACCCAGCAGGGGAATAGCTGGGTCACATGGGACTTCCAGTCCTAGTTCGTTGAGGTATCTCTGTACTGATTTCCACAGTGGTTGCACCAGTCTACACTCCCACCAGCAGTGGAGCAGAGTTCCTCTTTCCCCACAGCCCCGCAAGCATTTGTTATTGGTTGATTTCATGATAGCAGCCATTCTTTCTGGGGTGAGGTGGAACCTCAGTATTGTTTTCATTTGTATCTCTTGAATGAACAGCGATGTTGAACACTTTTTCATATGTTTATTTGCTATTTCTACTTCTTTGTGTGAGAAATGTCTGTTCATTTCAGATGTCCACTTTTGGACTGGGTCTTTAAATTTGGGAGGTCTGATTTTTTTTAAGTTCTTTATAGATTTGAGATAGTAGACCTTTGTCTGAGGAACTGCAGGTGAAAATTTCTTCCCAGATTGTGGGTTGTCTTTTCACACTGTTGGTGGTTTCTCTTGATGTGCAGAAGCTTTTTTAATAAGAAGAGATCCCACTTGTTGATTGTTTGTGCTAGTTCACAGGCAACTGAGGTTTTGTTCCATAAAATCTTTTCCTACACCAATATTTTCAAGAGTTCTACCTAACCTCTGTTCCAGGCGATTCAACGTTTCTATTTTATTTTATTTTATTTTTTGATGAGTTTTGGTGATACAGTGCTTTATTTAGAAAAAGATAAACACCACTGATTCTAAGATATTTTTTTCATTCAAATGGCACACTAAGTAGACATAAAATAGTCCAGGATAATAGATGTATTTACACACTGAATACAAAATAAATATACAATATTTGTAAAACTTAGTTATCCATTGATTCATTTTGTATTTCCACTGTTCATCATCTGTTTCAATTTTCTTTGCCTTTTGTAAATCCTTTTTTTCCTTGCTTTCAAATCGACTTTTGGCTCTGGTTTTACCCACTGTATTTCTATCGGGTTTTCCTCAGCAGGTGTAACAAAAACATCTTCAGTGGGGTCATGTGGAAGAACAGTCTTTGGCTCTTTCTCAGTTTCAGCACATCTTTTACTTGCTCTTTGTCTTTGCATTTTGCAGCCATGGTGGATCTTATAACACGCCAATGCCTGTTTGGTGACTGGTAGTGAGAATTTTCATATAAAGTTGGTCCTCCAAAACTTCCCTGAAAAATCTGTATCAGATTTAAGACAAAATGAGGTCCTATTTCTACAAGTTGAGCATCTTCATCTATGACCTGAAAGTTTAGAAACCGTATCTTATTATCCAAAATGGTGAAAGTAAAGACATGGTCCACAAATGACTGGCTTTTGGGATGATATCATGGTGTACTAAATATCTGAATTAAGAGTTCTTTTAACAAAGCGTAATGTAGCAATTCATCAAAAGCAGGGTCAAAAGGCAAAATTGGCCAAGAGCCTTTCAAACAGTTTCCTGTCATTTTCAGTTCTGCTAGGGTATGAATATTTTGGACAAGGAATTTGGTAGAGGGCCCATGAGGTGAATTCGAAAGCCACATATAAAGATCTTGTTTTTTCTTAGCTTCAAAATAGATGAATTTATTGCAGTTTTTCATTTCACAAACCTCATTAATGACAAATAATTTATCTTTACCATCCATTTTAGTATCTGCTTTAGAATGAGGCATCAGTGTTCTCAAGTCTTGCATTAAATGACTTATTCTGAAATTTATTCCTCTGGAAGAAAAGATGAGAATCTGTTCCTTATTTTTCCACTTGCTCTTATTTAAGATGCTTTCATTGGATGAAGATTAACTTCAATAACTTGTGCTCAGTTTCTTTTTAATAAAATCTATCAATTTCAAGGAATTTTAGATTCCTTCTAAACTCCAAAATTCCTTGCAAGCAGAGCCTAGGATATGGTCCTTCTCTGTTTCCTTCATCTCTTCTGGCACAACCGATGACTTAGCTGGAGGGTTGGCATCTTTTTTGTTTCTTTTTGGCTTCTTTGCCTAAACCAGCAAGTCCCCATGCCACTTTGTCTTGGTTGCCGCCATCTTGCCTCACCGCCTTCCATTTTGACTGTCTCAAGCGTTTCTATTTTAATATTTACATCCTTAATCCATTTCAATTTTAGTTTAGTGCATGGTGAGAGACATAGGTCTAGTTTTAATGTTTGGCAAGTTGAAACCCAATTTTTCCAGCACCATTTATTAAAGAGGCTGTCTTTCCTCCAGTGAGGGTGTTTGGCTCCTTT